ATATCTTATTCCTCAAACTGACATCTGTGCTCTTGAACGTTTGAAAGAGGTCTTGTGCTGCAGATTAGCCTAATGTAATACATACATCATTTGATTTCTTGACTGCTACTTCCATGAGTGTTGATGGTGGATCCAAGCAAAATGTAGTCTTTGACAACTTCAATCTTTTCTCCATTTATCATGATGCTATTTCTTGGTCCAGTAGTAAGGATTTTTGTTTTCTTTACACTGAGGTGCAACCCATACCGAAAGTTATGGTCTTTGATCTTCATCAATAAGTATTTTCAAGTCTTCTTTCAGCAAGCAAGGTTGTATCATCTGTATATCGCAAGTTGTTAATCCTGATGCCACATTCTTCTTCACATAATCCAGCTTCTCTGATTATTTTTTCAGCAGACTGAGTAAGTGTGGTGAAAGAATACAACCCTGGCATACACCTTTCTTGATTTAAAACCATTCAATGTCCCCTTGTTCTCTTAGAAAAACTGCTTCTTAGTCTATGTACAGCTTCCTCATGAGCACAACTAAATGTTCATGATTACTCATTCTCTGCAGTGTTGTCCATAACTTGTTATGATCCACAAAATTGAAAGCCTTTGCATAGTCAATAAAGCACAGGTAAACATTTTTTGGTATTTTCTGCTTTCTGCCAAGATCTACTATCTGACGTCAGCAATGATATCCCTCATTCTACGTACTAGTGTGAATGTGGGTTGAACCTCTGGCAGGTTCCCTGTCGATGTACTGTTGCAGCTATTTATAAATGGTTTTTAATGAAATTTTACTTGCATGTGATATTAATGGTACTGTCCAATGATTTCCACATTCCATTGGTTCATCTCTCTTTGAAATGCACACAAATATGAATTTCTTTCAATTAGTTTTCCAGGTAGCTGCTTTCTAAATTTCTTGGCATAGATGAATGAGTGCCTCCAGTGTTACATCAGTTTGTTGAAAGAGTTCAGTTTGTATTCCAGCAATTCCCAGTGCCTTGTTCTTTGCCAATGCCTTTATTGCACCTTGGACTTCCTCCTTCAGTATCACTGGTTCTTGATCATATGCTTACCTCTTGAAATGGTTGAACATCAACCATTTCCTTTTGGTACAGTGACTCTATGTTCCTTCCATCTTCTTTTGATGTTTTCTGCATCATTCAATATCTTGCCCACAGAATCCTTCAGTACTGCAAGTCAAGGCTTGAATTTATTACTCAATTTTTTCAGCTTGAGAAATGCTGAGCACGTTCTTCCTTTTTGGTTTTCAAACTCTAGGTCTTTGCACATTTCATTATAATAATTGACTTTGTCTGCTTGAGCTGTCCTTTGAAATTTTCAGTTCAGCTCTTTTACCTCTTCATTTCTCCCATTTGCTTCAGCATCTTTGCACTGGAGAGCAAGTGTCAGAGTCTCTTCTGATACCCATTTTGGTCTTTTCCTTCATTCTTCTTATTGACCTTTTGCTTTCTTCCTGTATGATCTTTTTTTTTTTTTTTTAATGTTTTATTGTGAATTATGTGATAGTTTATTTACATGGGAGAACATTAGCTTTACATTCATCCTACCGTATAACATTTCATTGCCATGGTTATAATCCCTCCATGCATCATCAACCAACCAAAGGGTATACAATACAAGCCTGCCTCCGGTCGTCAGCACACAGCCCCTCTCCCTCTCTGGTACTAAAGTCCCCAGCTGCTCCATCTCTCCACATCATTGTCTCTGCCTCCATCTCTGGCATTTGTATGTTTCTCTGGGTAGGGTCCCAAACTCTGCTCTTCTCCCTTGATGGTTCCAGGGACCTCCGCTCCTGGACTGCAAAGTCAATCACTCTCCTCCTTTTGCTACAAAACATCCACCTTTACATTTCCAACCCTCGCAGTCAGTCTTTATAACAATTATTCACCATTGTACCACAAGGGACCTATCCCCATCTCATTTAATTGGCCCCACCCAGATAGATTGGATACTAATCAGTGGAGATTCTACCTTTCTCCATGCCCTCTGGATCTAGGTTCCCTCTTGAAAGCTTGTAAGCCAGTCACTTCTTGCCTTTGTAGCCCCCCATTTGGGTAGCCAATGTCCAAGTTGCCCATCCCTGTCTACTCTGTGTATGGAGGGGGTGGGAATGGTTCTTGCTGTAAGGATTTGTTCCCTCTTTTGAGCCAGTGCATCCATAGGTGTAGATCAAGTTCATCAAACAGTATCCGACGAGTCTTTTTTCCCTCTTCTTTCTTCTAGTTGAGCTCTGTTCATCCAGTTCTGTATGATGTTCTTGATGCCATCAGAACTCTTCTTGTTTTCGGTCCTTAGTGTCTAATGCATCAAATCTGTTCTTGAGATGATCTTTGAATTCAGGTGGGATATATTTCAGGTCATATTTTGGCTCTCATGGACTTGTTTTAACTTTCTTCAGCTTCAGCCTGACTTTGCATATGAGCAAATTGGTGGTGTATTCATTCCACAGTCTGTTTTGGCTGATGATATGGAACTTTTCCAATGTCTCTTCCTACATATGTAGTCAATTTGATTTCTGTGTATTCCATCTGGTGAGGTCTAAGTGTATAGCTGTCTTTTATGTTTTTTTAAAAAAATGTATTTGCAATAAGTCATTGGTCTTGCAAATTATATCATGCAATCTTCAGTATTGTTTCTATGCCTCATATGCATGTGAAAGCTGGACAGTGAATAAGGAAAACCCTAGAAGAATTGATGCATTCGAGTTAAGGTGTTGGAGAAAGAATATTGAAAGAACCATGGGCTGCTAGAAGAACAAACAAATCTGTGATGTAAGAAGTACAGCCAGAATGCTCCTGAAAAGCCATGATGGTTAGGCTGTCTCTCATAATTCAGAAATGTTATCAAGAGGGAAGGAGCTTTGGTAGCGCAGTGGTTACGAATCGGGCTGCTAACCTCAAGGTCAGCAGTTTGAAAATACCAGCTGTTCCGCGGGAGAAAGATGAGGCTTTCTACTCCCGTAAAGATTTGCAGCCTCGGAAACCCTGTGCAGGGTCACTATGAGTTGGAACCGACTCCACAGTACTTAACAACAACAACAACATCAAGAGGGGCCGGTCCCTGGAATAGGATATTATATTTGTTAAGTGGAGAGTCAGCAAAAAAGAGGAAGACCCCCAACAAGATGGATTGGCACAATGGCAGCAGCAAAGGGCTGACATGTAACACCAGTTGTGAGGGGGTACAGGACCGGGCAGTGTTTTGTTCTGCTGTGCAGAGGGTCACTATGACTTGGAATTGACCAATGACACCAAATAACAGTCCATCTGCCTCCAGTTTTTTGTTTGTTTAACCTTTGTTGCTGTTATTGTTGCATGCTGTCGAGACTGTTTCGATTCTTAGAAACCCTGTATAGAGTTTCAGAGGCTGTAAATCTTTGCAGGTACAGAAAGCTTCATCTTTCTCCCATGGAGTGGCTGGTGGACTCAAATCCCGAAACTTGTGGTCCGCAGTCCAATGTTTATCCTATAGAGCCACCATACTCCCCAGTAACAGCTTTGTAATTCACATGCCATAAAAGCCACTCGTTTCAAGCACATGCTTCAATGGATGTTAGTATATTTACAAAGCTGTCCACCCATTACCACCACTGGTATCACCCCAAAAGAAAGTCCCATAATCAGCAACAGTCATTCTTCACTTCCTTCTGTCCTCAGCTCCTGGCAATGACTTTCTGTCTGTATTGTTGTGAAGTGCTGTTGAGCCGACCCATAATAACCCTGTATAGGGTTTCTGAAAAGCAGCTGGTGAACTTGAACTGCCAACTTTGCAGTTCAAATGGCTTTGCAGCCTGGTGCATTAACCCATAGCGCCACACGAGGACTCGTCTGTCTGTATGGATTTGTCTTACTCTGGGCATTTCATGTCAAAGGAATCATACAATACGGGATTTTATGGGACTCGGCCTCACTCCTGCCTTTTCCACCATTACCCTTCACAGTTACTGAATTTTTATAAAAAATGTAACTCCATTGCTCATTGCTTTTTCCTTTAATTATTCTTGAAATTTTAGGGTAGAATTCATTCTCTTGTACTCTAAAGACCCTTCAAAACCTGCCTCCTGTCTATCTCTCAAACCAGTCGAGCTACTTTGTTGTTGTTGGATTGCCATCAAGTCGCTTCTGACTCACAGCGACCCTGTATAGGGTTTCTGAGAAGCAGCTGGTGAGTCTCAACCGCTGACCTAGTGGTCACCTGCCGTCCAGTGTTTGTCCTCCATCGCCACACCAGGAGTCCTGCTAGTCCTTTTATTCCATTCAAACATGAATGTTTCCCAGACAAAGCATACAATGTCAAACCGTCACATGTGGTTTTCTCTGCTTGGTACACCCTTCTCTGTCTTCCTTATCTGTGTAAATGCTACTCACCTCTAAACACTCAGCCTGCCCAAGAAGCACGCTCTGACCCTCACCAGCGATGCGGATGCTTATATCCTGTTTCCATATCATCCATGACCACACTGCACTGCAGCACTGTTTTATCAGTCTCCCCACAAAGCCGTGAGCTACAACTAACTGAGGGTACAGAGTATGCTCCGTTTAATTCTGCAGCACTTAGCACAGTGTCTGCACGAGTGTCAGTAAAGTTCTTGAAATCTGCATTTGTTTCCTGCACACCCAATAACACTCACGAGGCAATCTACAATAAGGAAGTTCAAGACACACCCCTGCTTTTCATAAGAAACAGTAAAAGGCACGGGATCTGCATGAGACTGTGAGGTCCAGCCCCAAAATAAAATGCTCTTCGTAGGAAACGCACAGGCAGAAAAACCCCAAAACATTTAGTTTGTGCGTGTTCCATGACAAAACAAAGATGACGTGCTTGATCACCAATTCCTCATGTTTAAAAGCCACGCCCTTGATTGACTTTTCCTGTAAAAGAAATGATGTTCTAGGAATTATTTCTCATTTTTACAAAGGAACGTAAGCAAATAAGTACATTTAATGAGGATAAATTTGCCAGGGCAAAAAAGTCATGAGAAATTACCTGTAGATAAATCTTCTTGACTCCAGGCACATAATCTGCAATCCGTCCAAAGAGGAGTCGTCCAACTCCTGAAGTGATGCCAATGCACATCAAAACCACCTCCTTGTTACTTTCATCGTTAAATCTTTCATTCACGTATTTCATCTGCAGACCAAAGAGAGAAACCACACTAAATGTTGTAGGAAAACCTGCCAAGTTTTGACACTTTCTACAGATGCTTTTGTTTGTCTGCAGTGATATAAGCTCTCAGTTCTCCAAATGCAAATGTGTATACAATTTGTTGTTTGATCATTTTTCATGAGAATGTATGTGAAGAAAATCTACCATGACTTAGCTTACATAAGAAGAAATGAGAGTTTGTGTGTGATTTACATAAAGGGTTATTCCACATGCTGTATAAGCTACAACAGAGTGAACCATCAGTGTAAGGATGAGAAGAGCCCTTTGAACACACAACACAACCCTGTTCTCTCAACTCCAAGGATCCAGCACATTATCCACTCGCCTGGAAGGCAGGTCTCAAGAGTCAATTCTGCAGTTTTGTTTCCTCTAGGGATACCTGAACCAAACTGACACCCCTAAAATAGACTGTCCTGGGGCTTCAGAATAAGAGCATAAGGTTCTATCAATGAAGTTACCTACTTAGGAGTCTATGGCATTAGAGCAGATTAAGAAACAGAGGCAGTTCAACACTGTGGTTAAAAACTCCTGGAGAATCAGACCTCTCACCAGCCTGATGACCGGGGAGTACGTTCTTACTTTTCCTCGGTTTCCTTGTATGTAAAATGGAGAAAGCTGATCTGAGGATTAAATATATATGCTTGGTACACAGTAATTGTCAGGTGATGGATTTTAGCCTATTTAGAAAATAAAAGCGATCCTTTCCCTCAATGTTATCTACTCAGAACTTCTGAGACTGCAGTCACTGCAACCCAACAACCTGCAGGCCATAAGCAATAATCACGTTACATTGTTTGACTCACCCACAAAACACTGGCAATGTTTGAAGAGATAGTGTGACCAGGCAGGTGTTGATAAAACATGCAGCTCAGTGCCCCAGCCATTCCTTGCTCAGCTCTTCCATTCTCTCAACCATCACCTGTCTGTACTCACAGCAAGGAGAAGGGCATCTGAGCTCCCAGTGTTTTTCTGAGATCACCGAGGAAACAATCAGACTCACTACTCCCTGGACCAAACAGCCTGAATACTGCAAGTCTGTAAGCAAATCTGCCAGCAAACTCAATTGCCTGATGGCTCTTGTGTGGCAACAATAGCACAAGATGGTCTCCCCCTAAGAGACATCTGTTTTGTATTTTGTAGTTTTACGCCCACCATCATATCCCTTTCTACCTTTTCAAAATTAATTCACATTGATTCAGAGTGTTGTTGTTAAGTGCCATAGAGTCAATTCTGACACAAGGCAACCCTAAACAGGGTTTCTGAGTAGCCAACATTGCGGTTCAAACCAAACTTACAGTGCAGCACATTAACTCACAGCGTTACACCAAGACTCCTGATTCAGAATGGTTGGTTGGTTGTTATGTGCCATGAAATCGGTTCCAACTCATGGCAACCCTGTACAGGGTTTCTGAAGCTGTAAATCTTTACGGGAGCAGAAAGCCTCATCTTTCTCCCACGGAACAGCTGGTAGCTTCGAACTGCTGACGTTGCAGTTTGCAGCCCGATTCATAACCACTATGCTACCAGAGCTCCTTCCTGATTCAGAACAATCCTCCTAAAATATGGTTTTAATTTCATCAATTTCTTATTCAAGTTGCCCACTCCTTAGCTTGTATTTAGAACCTTCAATAATCTATTCTCTGGTAGCGTAGTGGTTACAAATCTGGCTGCGAGCTACAAGGTCAGCAGTTCGAAACTACCAGCTGTTCCGCGGGAGAAAGATGAGGCTTTCTGCTCCTGTAAAGATTTATAGCCTCGGAAACTCTATGCAGGCTCGCTATGAGTCGGAACCGACTCCACAGCACATAACAACAACAATCGGTCATTGTGTCTTTATCACATATTGATCCCTGGCTCCGAGGTAAAAAACACAAATATCAACAGGATCCAGGACCCAGGCAAATAACACAAACATAAACAAGGGAAGCCGACTTGCTGGAGAGAAAGGACATATTCTCAAGGGAGCAGTTACTACTACTCAGCCTCAGATGGTAACTGCCATGTAGAAGTATCAGTGTTGCCAAGTCTACCACCACCCCCGTTTCATTTTAAGAAGTCAGAAATCTGGGTTCTTAAACTAAATTTAATTAAAGCTGGCACGGAACCTGAATTTAGAACACAATGTGTCTGCAAATGGCATTAGGGCAGCTTTGATCTCAGCCCTAATCCCTGTGGCCCAGCAGGACAGGTTTATTATTCAGTGTCCCTAAAGCAACAACATTCTCACCTCCTGCTGCCTCTTCTATCTTCCGGGACTTTCTAACTCCTACAAGGAGTTCTGGTAGCGTAGTGGTTATGAATTGGGCTGTGAACCTTAAGGTGAGCAATTCGAAACTACCAGCTGTTTCGCAGCAGAAAGATGAGGCTTTCTGCTCCTGTAAAGATTTACAGCCTAGGGAAACCCTGTACAGGGTCACTATGAGTCAGTTCTGACTCCACAGCACATAACCACCACCAATTCATTCACTAAAATCCTGCTGAAATCCCACATTTTCTATGACCGTTCCCTTGATTACCCCAGCCTTACATCTTCTTGTTAACTGTTGAAGATTTGGCACTTACAATCATCCTAGCTCCCTCCCTCCCTCTTTCTCTTCACATCCAATGTTGTTGTTAAGTGCCTTCAAGTTAATTCCGACCCATAGCGACCCTGTATAGGGTTTCCAAGGAGCAGCTGGTTAGCTTGAACCAGCGACCTTGCAGTCTGGCGCATTAACCCACAGTGCCACACCAGGAAAACCTCACATCCAATAGTTCCATAAAATCCCGATGATTCTTTCTACCTCCTAAATCTTTCTCAGACACTTTTTCAGTTCACATCCCCCAGTGTTTTAGTATGGTTCTTATCTCTCCTCCGCTGGCTCATGATACCATTATTGACTGAGCACCCACTCCTAAATCTCTCCCCTGTAAACTATACTTCCTGAGACCTTCAGATTAATAACCTTCAGAGTGAATCTCCAGCACATAAAGCTTTCCTTCCCGATGTGACACTTCCCCTCCAGCGTAGCAACCAGCCACATGCCAGCTGCCAAGCACTTGAAACGTGGCGAGTACAAATTGCCTGGTGTGGCGCTGCGGGTTAATGCGCTGGACTGCAAAGTTTATTTAATTGCAAAGTCGGCAGTTCAAGCCCTCCAGTCGCTCCTCATTAACCCTATACAGGGCCTCTAAGGGTTGACTCGACGGAACGTCACAACAACATAAGTGTAAAGTATACCATGTACTTAGAAGATCAGGTGGGGTTAAAAAAGAATGCAAAATATTAATAGTTTCTGGTGTGGTGCTGTAGGATAAGCACTGGGCTGTTAACCACAAGGCTGGCAGTTCAAACTTTCCAGCTGCTCCTCGGGAACCCTATACAGGGACTTGATTCAACAGTATTTAACAATAAACAATTTTATTCCATGTTGAAATAACAATACTTTGGTTATATTGAGATCATGTATTACTAAAACAAATTTCCTTTGTTCCTTTTTAATTTTTTAATAAAGCTTCGGCTACTAGAAAATGTAAAGCTACATCTGTGGCTCCCATTATATTCCTACTGAACAAAGTTGGTCTAAGAAATACACTTTCAGCTGCAAAGACTAGACCGATTATTGATGAGGGTGACCCCTAAATGGTTTATTCCTCCAGCACCTTATCTCTCTCCCACCAAGTGCAATTAGACAAAGTCAAAAAAGGTGAATTCCAACTCAATTCTGAAAACAAAAACAACCCCACATTTATGACCTAAATGAAAACAGGTGAAATATGATTGTGTATTCACTGGCTTTATTTGACATTCGAATTCAGGCTATTATATTAATCCACTTGGGGAAGCATCTTCAAGATCTATTATAACGTTTTAAGAGATATTCTTTAATATTCATAAAAGATTGAACTTACAAGTGATTCTTTCAATGACACTAAGAACACCTGCCTGCCAAATTGCCATTAACCTCTGTCAGTTTTGTTCCCCCCCCCCCAATTTGCTTTGTAATCCTTTTAAGTGGTGGTGGTGGGTAGGTGCCATGGAGTCGGCTCCGACCCATAGCGACCCTTGTACAGGATTTCCGAGGCTATACATCTTTACTGGAGCAGAAAGCCTCATCTTTCTCCCACGGAACGGCTGGTAGTTTCAAACTGCCGACCTTGAGGTTAGCAGCCCAATTCATAACCACTACGCTACCAGAGCTCCTTAATCCTTAGAAGCAGTAACATGAAATGTCTGTTATATTCCACTGGACCTTTCTGAAAAGGGGTTCAAATTGATTTGATAAATTCAAATGACACAAGTGGAAACGTCATTTTTCGATGATAAAGAGCACTTGATGATTTTGTGTTGCTGTTTTTAAATGAGGCAAGACTTCAGCTTTTGCCCACCCCCCTACCACACCCACAGCTAGCTAGCTGTAAAATAAAATTGTTTCTTTGGTAAGTGAATTTGGGGGTAGGGGAGCCAAGTCTTTCCATTTAATTTCTAAGAATATATCCATATATTCTTTACAAACATTTTAAGAGCAGCTCCAAACTTAAAAGACCACTCTGCTAAATATGTGTTTTTAAAAAGTAAACTCAAACAACAGAGGCTGGCCCCTTTAAAAATTAGATGTCAGTTGGAAGGGGACTAGAAAGAGTGGAGATGTGGGAGGCTGGGCATGAGGGTCCCGCTGGGTCAGCTGTGCAGAGTTTCACCAATCCTGCCCATCTTTCATCCTCTGGAGCCGGGCACACACCTTAGTCTTTAGCAGGAAGCATAAATATAGGACAAAACTGTTCTTCCTCATAAACAGTTTTATGAGTAAGGACATGAAAATGTTGAACACTTCATAGTCATCTAACTTAAATTTTAAACCAATACAAAGCTCATACTTCTGGCCACTGTTTGCATTGGGGATAACAATTTTTATTTATTTTTATTTTTTGTAAAGCAGTAGTTTATGAAGTAGACTTTATCTGAATAAATAATTGCCTGTAGA